GACGATAAATGTACGAAATGCATTGTACTATAATATTTGAGTACAGTACATTATTTAGGACAGTACTAGTACAGTACTGGTACAGTACTAGTACAATTCCCAACCCTGCTTATAAGTAGTTGTTTATGAAAATCATTTCTATATATGCATATATGATGTCGATCTACAGAAACTTTTGGAAATTTTTTTAATTCTAATATTTTAATTATGGTATTATTAACTTCTTAAAATGAAAACTAATGAATTAAATTTTATGCGTATATTGAAATTTTTGACTTGGTAGAAAGAATTATAAAAATGAAACTGCAGTCTGTACTTTTCGAATAATATTCTGAAAATGTAGGTATTGATTTTATTGGAATTTTTTGATAATTTCATACTCTTTCAAAAATTTGCTTAATACATTTTTTTTCATACATCATATAATTTCGAATTATATTTAATTTTCTTTATATACAAAACATAATAAACTCAATTCTTTTTTTTTTTTTTTTTTTTTTGAGACATTAAACACCCACCAGAAATAAGTTAGGATAACCATTATAAGAGATCTTAATTATCATGACTTCCAAGATACTTCTAATAACCATCGTCAAAGAGATATCACAATTCCACAGGCAAGGTACATAAAAATCGCAATTTTTTAAATAATGAATAAAAAATTGCAATTTTTATTAAGTACCAACAAAAAAAAAAAATGATAAAATGATAAAAAATAAAATAAATTAAAAATAAAAAAACAAGTAAAAAGTAAAAAGTACCTAATAAATAAAAAAAAAAAATTTCAAATTTTTGAGCTGTTTATAATTATTAAAACGAAGTCCATATTTATAAGTCTATTTTTAATTCGATAGAATTGGAAAAAAAAAAATTTTTTTTTACTACAAAAACTATCTAAAATTTTTTCTTGATAAAATTTATTAGGAACAATGTGTAAGTCAAGCAAACACAAATGAAAAAAAAAAAACCCCCCATCCACCCAAAACTATACATAAACAACCAACCAAAAAATTTTCCAAAAAAAAAAAAGAAAAAAAAGATTACATATATATATAATGAGAAATGAGAGGAAATTAGGAGCATTTTGGATTTGTCGTTATTATGATGTTATACTTGAATAAATTAGATTAATAATGTGTAGGCAAATAATATTTATAAATCTATTTTGCCAACATTTAAAGGAATGGGGGAGAAGTATTTTAAAATAGCCCAAAACCTAGTTAAGATCCACCACTGTATATCCTCCTATGGAACTTGATCGTTTGTTATTTAGGACGGTGTTCATGTCTACACAATGGCGAGGGAAGACACCTTTGGCTCCACCACGTGTTTCATTAATACCTTGCACCCATCCATCATCATACTCAACCAAGATCGTAACCTTGTCCCCTGGTTGTATATCCAACTCATCGGCCAATGCTGGTGTATAAGTTGCAATAACTGTGTATGAACCTAATGGTTTGGTTTCCTCATCCATTTTTTCATATGCGGAGTTTTGTTGTTCCCAAGCAGTTGCTGAAGTTGACACGATGCTGTTTGTCATTTCTTTATTTTTCTTTCTACGGACAAAGGCAAATAGACCGGTAACCAAAACCATGACTCCACCGACAGTGGTAAGTCCAGCTGCAGCTTGATATGATAAACCACCAGTTTGAACTTGCGGAGCTGATCCAACTGGCGCGCCACCTTGGTCATCTGCTGCGGAAGATTTATCTTTTTTAAAAAAAAGGAACCTAGTTAACCTATATACCATGAATAAAAATCGTAGAGTCCACTTGATTTTTAAATTACCTTTTTGTTCTTGAACTTTGCCTTCTGATTCTTTTTCTTTTACGTCATCTAATTTCTTTTGTTCTTTCTTTGGTTCCGGTTTCTTTGGATCTGTAGTATCTTCAATGTCCTTTAATTTTGTCATTTTAGGAACTTGTTTTGGTGTTACATTCTTACCAACGGCTTCCTTGCCTTTGGGATTTTTCGCTGGTTCTTTAGCTTCCTTAATAGCAGGATTCTTGGGAGGTTGATTATTGGCCTTGGGTATTAGAACTTTAGCTTTGGGATTTGGAATTTTAGCATTGTCTACTTCGGCTCTTTCCTGAAGGCCGGATGATATTACGTTATATCTTTTATTAAACATTCTATCACCCCCTCCTAAGCTACCACCATATCGACGTATCAATCGATTGCCAAATTCTTGGGATAGCATACTTTGTGATGTACTATCTATCATAATGGCCTCGGCATGGTGTTGTGAGCCTGAAAGAAGGGATGTAGAAACAAGTACAAGTGCGAGGAGTGATAAATTTCGCATCTTTTATGTTGTTTATAAGAATGAAAATCTTTTGGATAAAACCTTTCTACAAGGTTGTTGAAATTTTGAAATGTAAATTTAAATTCGAATTATTTTTTCCAATTTTTTTTTTTTTTTTTCATATAAACAAATCATTAATAAAGATCCTTTTACTAAGAAAGGCAAATTTCAAGCAATCGAGATAAAAAAACTTACCCTTCGTATACCGCCGGTATATGATAGAATCTATGGTTGTCCTCTAATAATAATAATAATAATAATAAAAAGACAGTATTTTACTCTAAAAGAAAAAGGAAAAATAAAATTGGTGTAGGATTTGGTGGAAGGGAAAAAGGATTTATGGTGATATAAGGGAAAGTGTGAAATTAATGGAATAAAAGAAAGAAGCTCGTTTAACAACGAAGCTTGTTAAATGAGAGGAAAGGAAAATGAACAAGTAAAAAAAAAAAATAATGAATCCGAGAATTTGTCAGTCAAAAACGTGTCTATTTGTGTATATTACTTCACCGTGATTGGCAGACGCTAATTAGTTTTTGGTATTTATATTGGTGTAGCAACAAATTGCAACGATGAATGCCCGCATTCGGAACTTGAATTTACAAAAGTAACATGGGAGCTTTTTCATGATGATTTATATATTATAAATTACAACTTAATTATTTAATAATAAAGATAAACATCTTTGTTGAATGAGTGGATTATTGAATCAAAGATTAACATAAATTACATGCATTGGATGAAACCACAAAATTAATAAATACTTAATATTGTGCAGGAAAGGATCAATGGTACAAAAGACTCTTAAAAAAGGAAAACATTTGTGTAAGAATGGAATTTTCGAAATAAATATTAGGATACCTACGTTTGAAAACTTGTAGTGTTATCACTTATAAGGAATTTCGCAGTACGAAGAAAATCTGTTACTGCGGGTTGAGCTGCATGTATCTGCATTACTAAATATAGATCATAATGTAATTTGTGTAAATATCGTTATGTTTCATTATCGTTTTTTTCTTTTTTAAGAACTTACTTTATTAGGATAATAAAAATAATAAAATGCTTGATTTTTATATAAAACCGAAAACTATTCTCCGTAAACTGCTCATTATTTGCTTTGTCCATGAATAACCAGTAATTTAAAAGTGAAGGTGACTTCATACTTACATTTCTAATAAAAATTTTTTTTAAAGATTCAATAATTTATGTTTTGGATTTAAAAAAACTTTATGTGTAATAATAGTCCAATTTATACTTCAAGATTTAATTGGTATTTAGGAGGTTGGCTAGGTTTCTAAAGGTCTTGGTAAAAGACAGGTGATTTACACGGCGAATTAACTATAATAAGAAAATTTTTATAGTAAAACTGGTATATAGGTATATACAACATTTTTAAATATATTATGATATCCGATTAAGTTTAACAAACTACCCCCATTTGTAATAAAAAGACCCTTTAGTTGCCGCTTTGGTAGTTTCCTATTTTGATATTGATAATATTAATTAATTTGTATTACATAAATAAATTTATTACAACACTGAATTTTTAACTAAAATATTAAAATTAAAGATCTTTAAACCTAAAAACCTGAAATCTTGGTACAATAGATGATCGACAATGATGTTATACGATCAACAGAATGTCAAAGCATGTGACTTATTCTTTTTTACCAAATCGCGTAATAAAAATGATAGAAGGAATTTTAATATATTAACTATTTAAAGTTAACGTCGATACTAGAAAATAAAAAAAAATATATAATTACAAATTTTGTATTAATAAAGAAAATACATTACATCTTTAAAGTATTTTTTTATTATATAAGACTAACTGCTAACCCGTTGCTTTGCAACGGGTAAATCACGTGAAGTTAGGCAAAGTTCCAAAAAAGGAAATTATATTGTTTAATAAAAATGTGTTTTAGTAGCTTTCCATTGACAAAGCAAGCTAAAACAATTGTATAACATTATACAAATTTCAAAAGGAAACTTGACTAATTTTGAGACTTGAATTTTACTGTAATATAAAATTTCCTTTTTTGAATATTTTGTGTAATGTTATACTATTAATCATTTTATTTATATAGTATAAATATTGTTATGGTCAGTCCTTTAAGATGCTTATGAGTGGTAAGCGAAGCAATATTTATGGGTGGTAAGCAGAAGGTTTAATTCAATATTTAGATTTAGAAGAGTGTCAGTAAATTAACAGTTTATTTAATAACTATAACAATGAAGTACTGCCTCAGTCATCGTTCTGTACTATACAATTATGTTAAAAGGATTAAACTAAACTATTATATAAACTTATATATCAGACACACTGCTAAGCTAAAGGAAATTGTCCTCTATTTATATAAAATGAAAAATATAAAGTTATCGAAGATATAAAAGAAATAAATATAATAAATAAAATATAATAAATATATGAGATAAATAAGATAAAATAAATAAAAGAAATATATTGTATAAAAGAAATATATACTATAGATGACATAGATGACATAGAAAACATATATGATTTCTTAGAGATCAACGTCATCCTTTAGATCATCATCATCCATGTTTTCTTTTGTGTAATAATATCACTATTACACAAGTATTTTTTTTATTATATAATATTATCATAAATCTATATTTACCATTAAATTACTTTATATTTGATTTAAAATTATATTATTTATTTATAATCTATATTAAGCTTTTATTATTATAATATTTCTTAAATCTATTAATTCAAATATTAAATTTATATTAAATATTATTAAGTATTATGAAATACCATTAGTTGCATATAACTTCATAATATAATTATATTATAAAGTTACATGCGTCTTAGATTAAGTTATAAAGGTAACTTCATAATCTATCAGTGACTTTATAATATAATAGTGATTTCATAATATAACGGCAACTTTATAATATAATAATGACTTTATATAATTTTAGCTGATCTTTTAGACATATAATTTGAGATTCTAACTTAGCGTAGCGTCATAGTAATGACCTAGAGTAACCTGATAGCTACTATTAAACTATTATAAAACTATGATAAAACTATCATAAAACTGTTATAAAACTGTCATAAAATTTTTGTAGAACTGATAGTTTGTCAACTTGGATGCTGACTTCTTATGCTCAAAGATCTGACTAAAATTATAGAGTGAATTTTGATTGCATTTTATTGCGTCATAGTCACGTGATAGTATTTCAGAGCTGAAACACACTCTGTCATATAATATAGCAAATTCAGTTAGTTTTGACTAGCCCATTTGTTGCCAGTTTATGTATGCTGATTTTGTGTTTCTAGTAAAAGTAAAGTTGTAATCAAATTTATAAAATATTATATCATTAAAATTGAATAAAAATCTATTGCACTAAAAATTTGAGTATCATGTTAGTTGTAAATTTATTGTGAGCTAATTGCAAGTTAGTTTTGAAAATTCTAAATTTGTCTGGCCTATTTGTTTGCTAAAAAGTATACCATCTTATAATTTAACTATTATACTAATATAAGTATGTTATTTTTATCAAATTATTAAAATGTATTCATAAGAACACTCTTAAGGACGCAATTTTAATATCAATTTTGAAAATTCTAGTTTATCACCAAAAAATTTTTCTGTCACTATGAAAATTTGTTAGTAATACTTTTAGTGATGCTCTTAGTAACATCCTTATATGCTTTTTTTTAAAGTTTAAGAATGCTCAATTATATTCCTTTATATCTATCACTATGTAACTAAAAATCACTAAGAAAAAATAAAGTTTTAGGAAAAAAATCAAAATTTTTCTATGCTATTCCTATGATTTATATGCGATATAGTATGATATATATATGATATATGTGTGATATATATATGCTAAATAAAAATAAAAAAGTAAAGAAGTCTGATTTTTCTTAGTAACTCTTAGTGATATAGTGACACTTATCTAAAAACCTTTTGATGGTTCTAAAAATATAAAATAGCTATAAATTTTATTACTAAAAGCGTTATCAAGAATAGCATCAAGAAATTTTAATAATAGACTATTATCTAAAAAGCTATAGGGATATAGTATGATAAATATATAACATATATACTAAAAAAAAATAAAAAAGTAAAGAAGCTAGATTTTTCTTAATGACTCTTAGTATTATAATAACACCTATCGGTAGACTATTCAATGGCTCTAAAATTGTAAAATAATTATAAATTTTATCATTAAGAGTGTCATCAAGAATGTTACCAAGAAATTTATTATAGAAATAGTAACAATTTTTTATTTTAAATCATTTGTTTAGATCTCTTAATTAGCCTAAAATTACTTGAGCAGATTTCTTTAAAGCTATCAACTTGTTTAGTTAGCTTTTTCTGATGGTAATATTCCTTTGATCTATATTTTTTGCATGCATATCACAATAGTCATATTTGCTACTTGTTAGCTTACCATATTTTTTACAAGGAATTTGCCTAGAATTCTGATAGACTTTATATTCCTTTGAATTATAACATCTCTTTTTTCACCTTCTATTTGTATATATCGATTAATAATCTCAGATAATTAATTTCATTTTAAACTTTTTCTTGCAAATAATATACCTTAAAATTTAGTATAACTATAAATCTTTAAAAAAATGACTGAATATTCAAAGCTTTTAGAGTTCTTCAACGCCCTCACCCTTTTTCATCTAAAGGTTAAAAAAGATAAAATAAAAGCCTAGATGATTTGTTACTCTAATGTGAATCACTTGATAGGTATTCTAACTCATGATGATATAGTTCAGAAAAATGCTAAGAAGTTGATCATAATCCTTAAAGATACTTTATCTAATGATGAAGATATTTTATTTATATTCACTGATAATAAAGGATCCAGTCAAAAGATAAATGAAAAGTATTGTTATATATATGGCTTTACAGTTTTCTAATTAATGGTCAAAAGGCAGTAGTAACACTTTTAAGTATTCAGGTTTTCTTTGACATTTATATATCAGATGGAAAGTCTCTGGATGAATGTGA